TGATAAAGGTGATCAACTTAGACTTTTACTACCAAAAATGGGAGAGGGAAGGTGAAAAAAGGCACGAAATCCATACTAGAGAGTTTTTTACATTCATTTTTTTTTTTTTTTATGAAATTCTAAATCATGTGAAACTGATGTTTGGTGGAAAAATTCAGAATAGTAATTCCATTGAGAGCTGAGGTAAGGGTTTATGGGAAAGCACAGGAGGGAACTTCATAGGATGGTTGTCATGTAATGTGTCTTGATAAAAGTTTGAGTTACAGCTGTATGCATTTGTCACAACCCAGCAAAAGTACCCCTACACTTATGTATTTCTTGTTTGAAAATTTTACTTCAAAACTAAAAAAAGAAAAAACTATTGACAAATGTTGAACTCTAATAAATGATAGGCATGCTGAAGTACTTATGAAACGTACTTATCCTTGAAAATTGCTTTGAAATATATAAAAAATTAAAATGGATGAAAAGATGAATAATAATGCAGTATCAAATTAACAGAATAAAATAGACAATGTGTACATAGGTATTTGCTGTAAATTCTTACAACTTTGCATGTACAGTGTGATATTCTATAGCTTTTAAACATTGCATAACAAACTGTGAAAGTTATAACTCTGGACACAAGGCTGAATCTATCTTGGTGGTCAAGATTAGCACTAGATGTAGGTTTGCCAGTTACAAGGCGTCATGTCACCCAGTAGGAACCCTATGGCTCTATTTCAAAGTGTTAGAAATGAAAGAAGAAATAGATGTAATGATGTTCAAGTTAAGTTATTGGATTTAGAGATTGTCTAGATACAGAAGCTAAGAAAGAATATCAAGAATTTTTCAATAACTGACTCTTTCAACTAGTTGGTATTGAGGAAACTGAAGATCTACATGACCTCCCTGAAATATTTCCAAAAATCTACAACAGCTTTTTGACCAGTGTAATCAGTTGTAGAGGGTAAGGTCTGGACTGTAGAATAAATCTGGGATCTGAGTGTGGTGCTGTAGAACACGTACTAAACTGTTAACCTCTATAATGGCACACTAAGCCCACCTTTGCATGCTCCTCAGAAAACCTATACCAGGTGTCTATGAGTTGGAACCAACTTAAAGACACTCAACAAAAACAGTGCTAGCTGGGCAGTTTTATAAATGGGTCCAGGGTTAGGTTAGGACTATAACTATAAATTTGCACATCACTGTCAAAGATTGATAATAAATTCAGCCAGGGAACACATAAAATTTCTAAGAAAAAGGAAGAGAGATAGGCTGAGGCAATGAAGACTATCAACATTCAGAAGCTAGAAACAGAATATAATCTGTGATCGCAGTGGAAAGGAAAATGAGGAAGAACTGAACCCATACAAACAATGTTCAATGAAATTTGTAAAACTAAAGACAAAAGACAACTCTTACTCTAGACTCATTGAGGGAGAGGGGTTGTGTGCTGGCAGCTGGAGGCAGACTTGCAGAGTATGCCCTTTGATTGTTTGAATGGTTATATATTCCTGAGTGCTTCGGTGTACATCCAAAAATAAAAAATAAAACACCACAGGGAATGGAAGCAAATGCTGTTGATTGATGTACATGGAGGGGGTTGTAATCATTACAATGAAATAAAATACAATAGGATCAATGTAAATGTTATGTTTTCCCATGTAAACTATCATTCATTCACAATAAAAACTTTACAAAATAATAATAATTTTTTTAAAAGACAACAATTTCCTGCTATGGTACAGATTCCAGCTGAAGAGTGATGATAGCTTTTTGGAAGGGAAAAAAAATAGAACTATGCCTCTCTTTGCAGGTCTTACGAATGAAGACTGGGTGTCATATGTCTTTACCTCTCAGACATGCCAGGGCCAATAACTCTCTCTTATGGTATGAGCAACCACTCCTGGGTTTAGTGGTACCACGCCAAGGAAACCAGGTAAAAACTAGGTCTATATGAGGTCTTTGCAACAGCATTTGAAGAATTCCCCACATTGGAGTTCACAAAGTAATGTGTTCAGGGGGCCTCATGGCAAAACCCTAACTCTACCCTAAAGGGGGTGACAGGACACCCTCTACATAAAGCCTTGATGTTGGGTGACAAACCTCCTCACTCACTGTAGCCGGGGTGACATCAACAGAATCAGGAGTGAGTAAACGTACAGCTGGGCAACGGATAGAGGAGAATCACGTTTATTGCAAATCCATCCCATTAGCCATTAGTTACCTTCTTGCCCATTGCCTCTTGCTTCTCATTATCAAAGACACATTTGAAAATTAACAAAATAGACACTAGCATAATTCATGTGTCCACACTCTTTCCTCACCAGGAGGCAGGGAACAGTTTCTGGAGAGCAGCTTTCACATCTTTGTTCCTCAATGTGTAGATGAGCGGATTCAGAGCAGGGCTGACCGCTGTGTACAACACAGTCACCACATTGCCATTCTCCATTGAGGAACCAGAGCCAGGAAGGAAGTAGGTGTAGATGACAGTGGAGTAGTACAAGCTGACCACCAGGAGGTGGGAGGAGCAGGTATTGAAGGCTCGGCGCTTGCCCGAAGCTGAGCGGATGCGGAGGATGCTGGCCAC